GAGTACATGGAAGAGTTATGGGGGGAAGGAATCAGGAGTGTTTCTGTCCTGTGTCCTTGCTCTGATTCAGTGCTGAATCCCCCTGGCTGTTCTAGAATCACTGTTCTTCACCTTCTCTTGCTCTTTTATCACTTAGGCTGCTTTACAAAGGCAGCTGTAGTGAACTTGGGGTGCCTCTCTGGAATGAAGTGGGGAAGCTGCTGGGTTTGAGTCTTCCACAGCTTAGTACTGAACATATGAAAGTAAGTTCTGATCACTGGACCCAAAACAGTCCAAGTGGTATGGCTTACTTACCTTTTATCCAGGACTGTGTGTAAGCAAACCACTGGGAGCTGATGCACATCACAGAGGTTGGCTTGGCCCAAACTACATCATGAAGCTCACAGACAAAAGCAACATTTTTCTGCAGACCTTGTGTTGTCCTTATGGCTTAAAATGTGTTTTGGAGCAAGAGCCACACATCATACCACACCTCCACACACACTCTCTCTTGAAACTATGTCTGAATAATTTCACTGTATTTCAAAAGTTCTTTGCTCTTAAAATCTGTTTGTCAGAAAACCTTATCTGAAACTCTTATTTTTAAAAAATGTAATTCTTTTATCATAGTAGGTTTTCTTTCACTGAGTTTAGAAAAAATTCCTCCTGTGTATTTGTTCCTGATTTTTGTGTGTGTGTGATATTATACACCAAAGGATGGGGGGAAGATACCTTCTCTATAGGAAGAAGCATGACTGTTCAAGGTACCTCTTTGGTAGCAATGACTTCCTCACAGCAGCAGTACACACTTCCCAGTGTTCCCTGCTGTGAGGAGAACTTTGACAGCTGAATTTGTTGCCATCTTTTAGAAGATGCTGTCGGAGGAGCTGCTCTGACTCCTGGCTCTGAGGATTTGGGAAGGCACCATCTGACCTGAGGTTGCAATCCTTGGATCATCATTGGCAGAACAGAGATTGTATTTTTCATTTGGAACTGAACTTCACCAGTAGTTTAAACTAAACTCCACCAGCAGCTCAAGCTAAGGAGCTGGCTTGGAGCTGAGGTAGCTGAAGTGCTTTGGATTTGCTCTTTCCTGTCCCTGACTGTCAGCCTCCTCACTGCTGGTTGCTGCCCTCCTAGAACCTTTAAGCTGGTAAAGCAAATGGTAAACCTAATTCCTCAGGATTCTGAGCCAGCATTCAGCTGTTGAGGTTATCAGGGAGTAAACCTGCTGTGATTGTGGACTGAACAACTTCTGTATGTTCTGACTAATGCGGTCAGAAATAACTTCTTACATTCTTTAAACTTTTCCTCAAAAAGGACAATTAAAAAAAGTGACATGCTTGAGTTTAGTAATAGGAGTGTGTTCCTAGATTTTGTTCATGTCTAGTATGTCAGCTGTCCTTTTTTTCTTTACATGTGTGGGAAAAGGGAGGTTTGAAGTGAATAATTTGGTGGTGAGTAAAAAAGAGGGCTAGAGCCAATGGCACAAGGGAAGTGAGAGTGGCCATCACCTGACTGCTGATGACTGGAAAGTCCAGAGTGCATGTATCTCTCTTCTTGTTACTAAAGAAAAAAACCCCTCAGATGTTTTTCTCTACCTCAAAAAATATTAATGCGTTATTCTTTTAGAAAGATTTTTATTCTTTTTACTGCTTTTCCTCAGAAGCACTTGGCTGAAATATTACATCATATGTCTTTAAGGAAAAAATACAAAATTTTTCTCTTTATGTAGCTTACTACTTAAGGTGACATAAATCTCAGTAGTCTTCATGAGAATCACAGCTATACTCTCGAGTAAGGTTCATGTTAGAGTTGAAATTGTTTAGTTTGAAGGAGTGACTTGACCATGATAGTTTGTCTCTGGCATTAAAACCTATTTTTGGTCAAAGACTGATCATAAAATACAGTGTATAAAGCTTTTCCCAAGTGCCTGATCTGGTCGTGTTTGTGTTTTACTGCCAAACTGAAGCTAAAGTTTCTTTGTTTGTACTGCAGTGGGGTGGGGAGCACTGACAGTAGGTTGGAATGTAGGACTGGAATGAGGGGTTCTGGGGTGCTGATTGATCCAGTTAATGTAGTTGTGTATAGAAAAACGTGTGTGTCTGCACTGGCTGTGGTGGTTTAAGCTGCTTGTAAAGGCAGGCTTGGAATACACTCTTAAACACATTAAAGGCCTTGTAACTCAATTTCACAGCATGCCATGCACTTTCTTGCAGTTGCTTTTATCTGACCTGAATAAGGAGCTCCTCCCTGTTATCTAATGTTTATAAAATTTACTTTCAGATTAATATTTAGGAAGTAGAAATTCTCTTTATCTCCATTTACCCATATGGGGCAAGATAAGATTTAGTGTGTCAGTATGCTTCTGTATTTGCATGATCCTACTTTTCTTTGGCTTTACAAATGGTACATTTTTCCTCCTTTTATTATTGGAGTACTGCTACAGAAAACACTTCATAGTTCCCATGGTGCCTGTTGGTTCTTACTTGATTGCAGAAAGAACTGGTGATAATCTGATGTTAGCAATCTGCATTTGACTCATAATAAATAAAGTAGAACCATCCAAAGAAACCAGTGGAGTTTCTGTGTTACTTTGCCATAAGTAAGCTCAAAAATTAAATAGAAAACTAAAACACAAAAAAACCTGTCAAAATAGGGTATCTTGTGATCCCTCCTTTGTGCAGATGGGCTGGAAGCGATGTTGAGGCTTCATTTTTGTCATCATCAGGTGCAGCAATAAGAAGTGTGCAGTGGGAGGAGGAGGGGTCTCTGATAGCCTGATTTGCTCCTAATGTGGCTGACAGTCACCTCTTTTGTTTTTTCCAGTGCTGATGTCACTGCAAAAATAATGATTCTTCAGGATATACTGGTTTTGGGGACCTTAACTATTGGCCTTTCATTGCCTTCAAGGAGTTCTGTAATAGCTGACCTTCGCTTTCATACAGAAGATTTGCTTGGAATTAGTATTTTGGGCTAGATTTGCTGTTTTTTGCAGACAAGCTCTTTAGCAATGTTTTTACAACACTTGTTAAAAAATACATGGAGTTAATAAACTTTTTGTAACATACTTAAAATCTTGTGTGGTGAAGCCTTGTCTTTCTCTTGCCAAAAAAGTCTTTAAAGCAGAGATGCTTTAAAAAAATCAAAACAAAACCTATTGCAGCAATCTACCATTATGTAGGCTGGGTGGAACTCAGCTTACATAATTTGTCAGGAAAATATTCCTGTTTGTGGTTGGTCTGGAGATCTGAAAGATGTCAGTGTGTGAAACTGCTCATCCAGATTTGTAGCCGCTCTCTGAGTATTCCAGCTGTTGTTTAGAGGCTTTTTTGTAAAGTGACTTCTAATGAGTTTTTATGCTGCACATATCACATATCTAAAGAACTTGAGTTCTTTTTTCTGGGATTCCTACATGTAATACCCTCACTGGGATTATGGGTAAAACTGTGGTTAGGGAGAGGGAAAAGCTTTTTGAGGAGTTGCATGTAAGTTATGCTAAGCCAAGTCTTTGAAAAGGCAAAAGCATGTTAACTGTTGTTTCAAAAATCATAGAAAATACTACAGTATTGAAAGTTGTCTAGTTCCTACAATTGCTTTTTTTGGTTTGAAATTGCTAAACTTTCTGTTCCTGCTAACATCATAAGTAACACCTGTTCAAAACAGTGGAGAACATGCATGTCTTTGTTCTTTCCTGTGCTGTTTTTCTGGTTCCCTATAGCTAGACCTAAGTCAGCATTCTTCTCTTGATCACTGGGTGATTGGAATTGAAAGAGAAGCAAAAGTGGTGCAGTTCTGCTCCTTGTTGCTGCTGGGAAGGGCAGGGTGAAGCTTAACCTCCTCTTGTTCTGCTCACAGCAGATGTGGCTTGAGCTGTTCTTCCTTGGGCGCTTTCCTCCCATAAATGACAGTCACAGATTTTTTCCCCCTGTGTTGTGACTCACCTGAATTCTGACTCCTGAGCACAATACATCCCAGCACTCAGCCAGAGCAGTGTTTTTCAGGAAACTGGAATGGAAGTAGACCATATGTTGAAGTGCATGCTCTTTATAAAATCTGAAAATATATTTTCCCTTTTTTGACATGGAAAATATAAAAATAGATTAGAAAAAAAAGTCTAAGATTCAGCTCTTTATTCTCTAAGGAGTGAGGGAAGACATTCTGAGTTAAAGTAGGTCATGCTAGCCTTATTTGGTGGATACCTACAATAGGTGTCCTTATGCTTGCAGGCTTGAAATGTTTCAGCTCTGTATTCTTAGATGAACTTGTAATGTATAGGCTGAACAGTATTTTGCCCTTTCTCTTTGTTTCTAGATTTTTTTTTTCTTGTGCAGTGATGGGAAGACTTTTTCTTGGTTGCTGTAATATTTATAGTTTCATTGTTTATATTTTAGTTTTATATTTATGTTATATTCTTTATGTTTATATTTTGAAATGGTGTGGTTAATTTTACCTATTGCAGGTAGTTTCAGGGAAATTAGGTGAGAAGGGTCTGATTGTGGTTTAGTATCACTTTTGACTTCACTACCTATAGATATAAAGGATAACCAATGCCTCTAACATAAGTGATTGCTAAGTAGTGTTTTTATGTGGAGAGTGTACACTTAATATGCAGTTTTTGGGAAATTAGCCTTCAGGTAATCTGTATCTTCACATGACCTTTGTGACACTCTGGGTAAGGCAAGTACCTGTATGAGGGAGAACCAGGGGCACAAATTAGGGAGGTAGAGGAAGCAGATTCTGGAAGATGAAAAACAAGGGAAGTCAAAGCTCTGGGGTGAGCCCTCTTCATTTGTTATCTGTATGCATAGATAACAGCCACTGCTGTTAAATCACAGATATATTAATTCATATACCAATGAAATCAGAGATTGAGAAATACAGTAGTATAATCTTAAATATTTTATTATTCCACAATATCTTTATATTATGTCTGTTAACATACTGTGTACAACAGTATCTTCCAAAAGATGGCAACAACTTCAAAACTAATAATTTGTTTATTTATTTTTCATTATTAGGTTCTGGTGGCAGGAAGAGAATACTGACCTGAGATGGAAGTCAAAACATCATTTAGCAAAGCCAGCAGGATTCCTGAGACTGTATCTACGTTAATTAATGAAGAATTTGTCTTGGTTCATCAGAAATCTGAGGAGACCTCTGGAAACGATGGGAAGCCACAGCTAAAGGTTTGCTCTGATTTTATTTTTAAATGTGTGGCAAGGTTTGTACTGATGGAAAGAGTGCATAATTGGTGTGTGCTTAAGGAGAGTTTTAGACTGTAATTTTTGTCCTTGCTGACTACCAGTGAAATTAGCAGCTTGGATTAAACAAATCTGTCCAGAAGTGACAGTTCAGGTTTTCTTTTAATAACTTCTTTGGGAGTTTGACAGTTCAGGTTTTCTTTTAATAACTTCTTTGGGAGTTAGCTTTGTTGTATTCTGTGGATCTATACATTGGTAAAGGCCTTTACAAAGAATGAGATTTGGTTTAAAGCTTAATATTCTTTATTTAGGGATCAGAGACTGTTATCTTAAAAGCATGTAATTAGACTATATAGGAATAGATTACACCATGACTTGCAGTTATGGTGCAAGTCATGGTGTAATCTATTCCTATATAGTGCTGTCTTGCACTTTAGTTTCTAATTTAGTTTTCCTGCTTAGTGCTACTTTAGGCATGAGTAAGACCTTTTCTAAGAGATTTCTACCTCTATATCGCAGAATATTTTAGCTCTTGTGGGTGACAGCTTATTGGCTACTACAGCTTAAATGGCTGAATTTGTATTTTATCAATGTACTGGTTTTGCTCAGCTTGGAACAATAGGAATTTTTTCCCCCGGAAATGACAGTAAGTACCTAGTCTGTCTTTGCTGTACTGTTTGACAGTTATTTACAGCTGATAATTTCTGTCTGTATTAGACATTATCTGCTTCTTTAATCTAGAAAGAGGCTGTTGGGCTGGAGGCAGAATCCATGATGCAGCTTTGGCTGTGGTTTTCTTTTGTCTGAAAAGCTGGTAGTTGTGAACGATTCTATTTTTCTTTAAGGGAGTGTGTATCTCCAATTTTTTTTTCCTTAGGCTTGCACCACTCTTGTGAGGGAAAATTGGTGAAGCAACTGAAATGGGCTGGATATGACTAAGAAAGTAAAATTTTCTTTAAGACTAATTATAGCAAAGTCTGTTGATCTCTAGTCTGAATGGAGGCTCTAAATACACAAATCTGTTATTCTAAGAGAAGTCTGTAGTTTTTTGATGGATGGGTTTTGTGTTAGCAATGAGGACATCTGCGTTTTATGCAAGGGGATATGACACTGGATTATATTTAATTCAGTTTTATTGATTCTTGGTTTGTTGTCTCATTCAGCAAAGTTTGAGACTATATATTTGAAAACTGATAGTGAAAGTAAAACTAAAAGTACCTTCAAAAAATGTCATCTCTTTCTGCTTACAGGTATTTTCAGATGGAGATGAGGAGCTGGAGAAGGCAATGGAAGAGATCCTGCGGGATTCTGAGAAGGACCAGTATGTCACTGCACTCCCAGAAGGATTCAGGGATGGCAGTGGCCAGGCAGCTGCAGATGGGTCAGCAGGACAAACAAACCAGCCAGCTTTGCAGCTTGTTTTAGACCCTTCTGCTACAGGTATTGCCTGAATGCTTTCCCCCTTCATCACACATGGCAGGATTTTTCTTTATGCAGTTTCAAGTGTACCCTAAAATAAATAGAAAGCTTTCCAGAGCTTCATTCCAAAATTACATTGGAGAATAACTGGGGCCTTCTCTTATTTTTAGTTGAAGATTATAGATAAGAATAGATTGTCATCAGATTGATACCTTGAACTGCTCTGCTTTGGTCAAAATAATGTTCATTTTTCCTTCAGCCAAGGCTTAGTTGGGACTGAGGATTGTATGAGTTTCTGAGAGGGTGATAATTGAGGTGGATCTGCTGCTGCTGAAGCTCAAGAAGTTTCAGGACAGTGTTCATGGATAGTGCTACCTACAAATGAAATATGCCTTGAGCAAACTGATTGAACTGGCCACCTCTGATGGTGTCACCAGGTAGCAGTAAGGCTGGCTTAGGATTTGATATTTGCTGGGAGTGATTGTGGTACTTGCCTGGTGTATGAAGTTTTCATGGAACGGGGAGGACTGAAAGCTTTTAATGTAAACAATGTTGTATATATTTTAAGTAAAAGATATTGTAGCTTTTATAGATACATATAGAAAGCATGCAGTATAAAAAACACATGCATTCTGTTACATATATTAGGGATACAATGGTGTGGTCATTTTTTGTTCTTTAACCTATAATTCTTTTTACCTCAATAGCATGTAGGGCACTTCTCTGGCTTTCTGTCAGCTAATTCCTATAGCATCTGTTGGAAATAAAAGAAATAGTTTATATGAAATGGAAACACCCTTCTCTTGATTACATAGCTGCTGTATTTCTGAGAAACTTACCTTACTGTCTTCCTGTTTGACATTCTTCAGACAGAACCCAACCCTTAGCATGAATGAACAAAGAAATACTTGTAGATATGTTTCTCTTGCCCCACTCCAGTCCCAACAGGAATAATTCAGTTCTGCAGCCTTCATGAATTCTAAGTATGATGGCAATATCTAGTAATAAGCAATAGAAGGGCGCAGAGAAGGGTCAGTACTAAGTGATCTTCAAGATCCATTCCAGCCCCTTAATGTTTTATGGTTCTGTGATTCTGTGACTGCTTACAAAGATTCAGAATGTCTGTGCTGTGTTCCTGTGATGCTAAAGAGAATCAAAATGCAGTTTGTCCCCATGCCACCCTTGGAAACATGAATTAGATTAGAACAGACTTCACAGTAATATTAAGCTGTCAAATGGATTTCTTGCTATTGGAGCTGAACTGTCTGCTCTCATGTCCTTTCCTGGAAGATGTAGGAGATTTGGCTGTGGAACTCATTGGAAAGAAAAAGTGTGTGGAAATAAAAGCAAATGGCTAAAGAAGTGTTTTCTTCATTTTCAGAAATCTCTGCACCAAGGCCATCTTCTCCCAGTGAACCCCTGGAAGAGGACAGTGTGTTGTTTAACAAACTGACTTATTTGGGTTGTACAAAGGTGTCAGCCCCACGCAATGAACCAGAAGCTCTGCATGCCATGGCAAACATGAAGTCCTCAAGTCAAACCCCTTTACCTGTAACACTCTATGTCCCAAACATTCCGGAAGGCTCTGTAAGGTAACACACAAGAGTTTCATTTGTTGCTTAAGCAGACACATAAGAAGTGGTTTCTCACTTTACTACTTGCACAAGGAAGTAGAATTGCTGGATTTATGCCTGAGGTTCTTGCTGAAGACAGTTAGTTAATTTTGAGCAATTCCTCTGAGGCAGCAAAATGTGTGCTCAGATTTACCATGCAGTACATGGCTGCTGTACCAGCTACCGCACAGTGTCAACAAAAATATCTCTTTCTACCTTAATATCTGTTCCAATATGATAATAAGAGAGCTAGTGGAAAGGGAGAGCTGGTAATACCTGTGCTCTCCTGACCTCCCTATTCTGTCAATGCCTCCAAGGTCCATGAGTTGCAGGAGTCCTTCTGGCCTTGGGTTGGCTGCAGGAGTGTCAGTTTAGACTCTCCCATCTATGTTTCAGAGTTGAGGTGCCAGTCTCTGCTTCCAGCCATTGCTGTGCAGAAGCCAGCTCTGACCCATGTCTGCCTCATGATGGCAGTGCTCACAATCTTCAGATACTAGAAAAGATTTGCTTTTACCATGTGAGAAGGGTCTTTTAATTAGTGATGAGGTAGTCAAAGGTTCTTGATCAGGGTGCACCTGTAGCATTTTTGCATCCAGAAGTAGGGAACATCTCAATATCCAAGATATTTTTTTTAAGCTCTGATATCAAGGTATCTGAAGGATATGATTAGATTTCCTTTCTTGCCTGAGCTATGTTTATGTATTGACTGTCATGTTGTAGAGGAAGAGAAAGCCCTTCAAGAATCTTTTTCTTCCACTTTTTTCTTTGAACCCAGTTTGAGTTTCATTTGACATCAGAAAATACTGTATTTCTGTACTTCTACAATGGCAACAGTCACAACAGTAACAGTAACACCCTTACACAAGATATAAGGGTGCCTATTTTTTGTACTCAGTGTGGCCATTCAGGAGGGCTGTTTTGCAAGTGACCCAGCAGGTTCCTTTGGCCTTTAATTTCAGAGGAGATCAGTAAATGTTGGACTGCCTAAGAACCTGCACAGATCTGAAAAGTTGAATCCACATGTGACATAACACATTCCATCAAAGTTTAGGTGATACTTGTGTTGGCTTTGAGGAGTGTGTTCATACCTGATGTCGCAATATTTGTCCTGTGAGGTTCCAGTTATCATGTCCCACCAAGATTACAGTGTGCTGAATCCTTCCAGGTTCTTCTTGCCTTTAGATTAGTCCTATATTATTATTGTTACAGACTTGGGATTTTAGGTGACTAATGTTTATTGGTCCTTGATGTGAATGTGCATATGGACCAGTAGTGAAGAAATAGAGGATAAAGTTTGTTATTCTTTAAAAGTCACTGTCCACTAGTCTGTTCTGAAACACCACTACTGCTTTTAAGTTTCTGGAATATTCTTTGGGTTCTGTCTTTGAGAGTATTTTAAAATTTTGGATGAAGTCTTAGATCTGTGTTAAATATTCACCTGAATGTGGCAGCATTTGCTAATCTGTGTAGTCCTGTTGATTCTGAAATAATTTTCATAATGATTTCTTAAACAGTTATTTAAATTATTTTTTAATATTGCAATTTTTTTGTATGCAAATCACATTTTTAGAGTTTTCTCTGGTTTCTAAATTTTTAGTGTGTTTTTCACAAACAATGGTCATTGTTTACTGTCTGATCTAGAGGTACTGTATTTGTCTGTAATATGGCATATACAAGAAATTGAGTCAATGTTACAACCAGGAACATTTACACCTTTAATTTGTAAAGCGTATCATTCCTGTTCCTGCTGCCTATCTCTTCTACTTGAATTTAGCAGTAATTACAGTTTAGATTCTTATTTATCTAATTACAGGAAAGCCTTTTAGGTATGCCTGTCTGTTTTACTGACCTGTTCCTTTGATCTGCCCTGTTCCATTTCTTGCCAGAATAATCAATCAATTGAGCAATTTGGAGATAGCCTCGTTTCCCATCTATAAAGTGTTGTTTTGTGTGAGGGGACAAAATGGGACTTCAGAGAGTGACTGCTTTGCATTCACTGAGAGCAGCTGTGGGACAGAAGAGTTCCAGATTCATGTTTTCTCCTGTGAGATTAAAGAAGCTGTAAGTATTCTGTGGTGTGCAGTGACTGGGAAAAAGGATACAGGTGTTTGAAGAGGTTATTCCCAACATGGAAATGATGTATAGTGCGTTGAAAAATGTGGTAGCACATATGAATGAGTTTTGCAGAATGTGCAGCTAGTCATATATTAATTATTACAATTTTAATAATATAATATTACATATATTATACATATTAAATAATAATATATTATAATTATGTAATAATAATACATATATTATAATTTTAAGTTTTTACTTTTAGTATTTCAACAAAATTCTGAAGTGCACTGAAATGGGATGATTTGGAAAACCTCATTTGGGGCTTTTGCAGGCCTCATTTGTGAATGTTTCATACTGGAATTGCATTGTATACCTTTGGAATTAGAAAGAACCATGTTACAGTACTCTGCCCTAGATGTTTTAGGAAGAACTATGTAATGGTCTGGGAGAAAAGGACTTTTTAAGGTGGAAAAAGAAAAAATCTCCTTGGGTTTTGTCATCTGCCAGAGCAGGTTGTATGTTTTGTTAAAAACACAACTTGAAAAGTACATTATGCAGGTCCTCTAATGAGCTGCATTCCAAATCTCTAATCTAATTTATATTAACTCACTGAGCATGACATGAGCAGGGAATGTATCAGGAATGGAAATAGGAGAGGTTGTTACTGAAATGGCTGGGTTATTGAACACGTGATGTTGAGTGCTTTGTGGTACATGAGGCATGATTTGTGTTCAGTATAAGAGGCAAGTGATTTTTGACCTTCAAAAACCTCACAATGCCTCATTAGAAACACCCTTATTTTTGATCAAAATATGAATGATTTTGCTTTTCTGCAGGTCAGCCGAATTTTGTATAGTTTCTCCACGGCATTCAAGCGTTCTTCCAAACAAGCATCTGATCACGTGAAGGACTTTGTTCTTCCCACACCAGACAGTGATGTGTACACTTTCAGTGTCTCCTTAGAAGTCAAAGAAGATGATGGGAAAGGAAATTTTAGGTAATCAGAATGGAAAGGGAAAAGTAGAAATCTCTTTGGAAAAAGCGCACAGCTACTTTCCACACACACAGCTACTGTGTTGCAACAAAATTCATTTGACCTCTTTTCATGAGCAGAAATGCTCTAAATAGGAAGCTGCTCTTTTGATGTTACAATTTTCTGTAAAAAGATAAAAATTCAGGATACTTTCTTCAAGTGAATTTCTTTTCACTGCATCATTTCTTTTAGGGATGCTCAATGGATGCCTATATAAATAGAAAAGATAGTAAGAAGTCTTTTAAAAACTTTAATCAAACTAATTTTCTTGAGTAAATACAGTCTAGTGGTTTCTTGTGATTTTTTTAAATCTAATGAATTTTGAATCAATTTAAAATTTAGACAGTATAATCTCTTTTCTGTATTTAATAATTCATGTTCTATACCTGCTGAAGAATGTTTCTATTCTTTTAGCCCTGTGCCAAAGGATAGAGATAAATTGTACTTCAAGCTTAAACAGGGAATTGAGAAGAAAGTGGTGATCACAGTTCAGCAACTTTCCAACAAAGAACTGGCCATTGAAAGGTAAAAATCTTACAGAAATTATGAAGGTTATATTTTTGAAAGAATGGTATTTAATGTTGTTTTCTTTGACTTGGCAAGTTATGTGATAGAAAAAAAATACCAATAACACCAAGTATGATTGCACAACAGAATTAATTCCACCAGATGGCAATCTTAGCAAAAGAGTAGCAATGGGAGAATTTGGTGGTAGTGAAAAGGAAATTCAGGAAAACAGAAGAATTAAGAAAACCTGCCCCCTAACCCTCCCAAAACCTGATGTCTTGATTTAGTTTCCAGCTTTTACTTCAGAATGGAATCTTAAGTTTTAGACAAGGACTATATAGTAAAAATTTTTGTCATTGTTTTAGGTTTTTGCTACTCATTGACTTTAAAAAAATTATCTATTTTCAGTGTAATTTTAGTTTAAACAGTTTTGCCTTCAGGATTCAGTTAATGAGGCATTTATGAATAGCATTTGATTATTGCTTTTCTCCCCAATGTAAAACTGTCTTTCTTAGAAATTAGCTTTTATTTTGGTGATGTTTAGAATATTCATTTGGAGATGTTATTTTTATCCCCACAAGCTTTGCTGTGTGTAAAAGTTATTTAATTGAAATGACTTACACAGGCTTCTAAGTCATTTTATCTACTTATCCCTGATAAGATTAAAATTCAAAACTGATGAAAGATGAATGCAGGTTACATCAAACTGAGCTTCTGAGCAATTTAATGTTTTTTCAAAAGTATTTCAAAGAGGAAGTTACAATGAAAAAAAATATTTCTGAAGAAATTTGATCCCTGGTCTAGAGATTTCAAAAATCTTTTGTCATGGTTTCAGGAGATCAAATTTGGTTGCTGCTGAGAGAAAGTGCTCCCTCCTGGTGTTCAACAGAGCCTGGGTTGAGTCAGGGTGATGCAGCAAGTTACTCTCATACACTACTTTGGCCCTTCCTGCTCTTGTGCCCTGTTTGACCTGGGTTTTGCCAGTTTTTATTTGGCTCAAAGTAGCTGAAGAGATGGTGTTCATTTGAGTCATGTGTGGCACTACGTGGCTTCAGTCCCACCATGGGGAGTGTCAAGTCTCAGTTGTTTATAGGATTCAGGAAGAAAATTCTGGTTAATGGTCAAGGGCTTTAGGGAAGCTGTTGTTAAGAGTGAAATAGCTTTTCATTCTCAGAGATGGAAGGATTCACACTCTTCTCAATACAGTGGTGTTTACATATAGTTTGCTACCAGTCATACAGGAGAGTGAATCCTGAATTATGTAGGTATACCTCAGGTTAAAGTCTAGGCTGGTATCCTTAGAACTGCAAAATATTACAAAGTATTGGTTGGTTTCTCATTAGTAGTGGAAACTCTTTAAGGTCACAGAATACCAGAATGGTTTGGGTTGGAACAGACCTTAAAGACCACCCTGCTCTGTAATGGGCAAGGATACCTTCCATTAGACCAGATTGCTTCAAGCCCTGTCCAGCCTGGCCCTGAACACTTCCAGGGGTGGAGTAACCACAGCTTCTCTGGGCAGCCTGTGCCAGGGCCTCACCACCCTTACAGGGAAGAATTTATTCCCAATATCTGATGTAATCCTGCCTTCTGACAGAGTGAAGCCATTCCCCCTTGTCCTGTCACAGTGTTAACTTAATATTATCAGTTTTATCTATCGGTAGCATTTATATTTTTATAAATTAAAATATATGTTGTGAATTACAGTTCTTTTAAGTTTTCCTGCTGGTCTAGAAAGTAATGGAGTATGTGTAGTTGCACAGAGCTGCACCTTTAAGTGCAGAAATCCAGCAAATCTGAAGTGAGACAGAGGCCCACAACCTGTGCAGGTCATTTTAAATCCTGGGTGTGTGGTTGAGCCCACTCATGTCAGAGGCTGAATGTGCTGACAACTGTTTCTGTAAAATCCATCTTCTGCAAGTCAAGGTCCTGACTTGATTTGAACTGATTTTCGTCTTTGAAATAAGAGGGAAGAGAAGCCCTGACTCTTCTGCAGCAGGATGCTGCTAGGTATCATAAGTCTGCTCCTGTGAGAGGCAGGGGTTACTTGTTCCTGACTCCCATTCTTTTGGAAACATACTGACCAAAAATATTGTCTGTCACACATCAGAACTTGTGTACATTTGAGTGATGCACAGCAGGAGCAGCATCTGGGGGTTGTTGTCTTTGAAAGGCACAAATATTTGACCTGCCTCTGCATCTTGACCTTACATTTCTCTGTAGCAGCTGTAGCAGGAGCTGGTGAACCCCCTGCTACTATGAGTTGTAGCTCTCTCAGAGCTATTTCTGCCCCAGAAACAAGAAGTAGTAGGTATGCTGTTAGCTTCTGCCCAGCTGAATTAGTCTCTCAGAGAATCTGGTTTGTGTGGCTAAATCCAAATCCTGGATCTGAGCTGCCTGGGGTGCTTACACAGCACTGCATTATGGATATAGATACATCAACATAATTCTCTAGTGCTTTATTTACCACTTAGATTTTTGTGATTCTAGTAGTGAATGAGTATGGAAAATACTGTTGTGGATGTTAAGTGTAATGAGGTGAAAAATGAAAACCCTACACCCCTAAAGTAACAGAAGAAAACTAGGTGGGGTAGTGATTGCGTATCTTGAGACTTTTCCAGTTAATAGGATTATTAAAATTTTAATTGCTGGTGTCCATATGTCCAAGCAATATTGTTCAGCATATTGCTTAGTTCTAAAAGTCAGTGAGAAAAAGCAGTTTGGTTATCAGAGAACCAAACAGAAGACAAATTCTTCCAACAAAACTCTGAATTACAAGCCAAATTTTCCATGGTATTTCAAATAGCAATTACTTTCAATTATTTCTTTTTCATTTGAGATCTAAGGTTTTTCAAAATCTATGCAAGACAGCTTGCTGTTTGTTGCACATACATAATTCTGTTTGGTGTTTTTATTCATAATGGAGTATATTCAGAGGAGAGAAATATATAGATGATTTGCAGAGACCTCAAGCCTGGATTTTTGCCTTCAGTAGTCAGGAAGTTTGAATATCTGAATGTCTGAGGAAATTTTTTGAGATTGGGTTTTTTTCCCTCTTAAAAATATCAGTAGCATTTTCTTTTAAAATGATTTTACTGGAATTCAAGGCCCTGTATATCACACAAGTTCAGATTTTAAAAAATGAAGAATGAAGTCTTAAAATTGAACAAATGGTTACTTCTTGTTGTTTTCTTTGAGAGTCTATGATGCTATGTGATTTTTTTGCAGCAGTGCTATTGTAAATTACAGAATTAATTAATTTGTATTTTTTTCCTGTGGTTACATGTGAGCAATTTTTAAAATGAACTGGGGAGAGAGTGAATTTTTTCCTGCCAGTCTCCATCACTAATGTGTAGGAATTGTTGGTATGTTTGAACTCATTATTTTAAATGGTCTTTAGGAACAGTTGAGTTTTCACTCAAGGCCAGATGCTAGTTTCTGCCATCTTGAGTCTGGAAAATAATTTCATTGTCTTTTCTGTAACATGTGTTGTGTTGTTTCCCGAGCGTTGCCATAACAATAACAAACAATTCTCTGAAAGGTACTCTTAAAATTAGAAGCAGTAGGTGGCTGTCCATTATGTTCAAGCAAACCTTATTGTATTGTGGAAAGCTAATATGTCCTTCTTTTCCTTTGTTTTTTTGTTTTAAATAAACTTCACAGGTGCTTTGGGATGTTGCTAAGCCCTGGACGAAACGTGAAGAACAGTGACATGCATTTACTAGACATGGTAATACTCTAATAACCTGTTAAATAAGATAAGGTGATTGGAAAAAAAGAAAAAGAAAACCCAGGAAAATGACCTTTTAATATCTTTTGCTTTATTTGTTTCTTAAATCTTGGGATATGATATCTACAGTCATAAGATGGACAAAACATTTCAATTCTTGTCAAAAGCTTTGGCACCTGGCTTTTGTTCAATTAATGAAGCAGAGATTAGGTTGTTACAAATAACTGAGCTTTTTGTATTGTGTTAAGCGTGTTCCCTGAAAATTTAGAGCAAATAATTGCTTTCATATTTGGGTGCCAGGGAAGTGCTGTTATTTTTCCAAGAGGCTAAAAACTTTGTCTTTTCCTTAATTTGATTTTAAATTCTTGCCCAGAGTTTGAAGTATTCCCTTGTCTTCTACAATATTCTATTTCTTAGAGTTGCTTCTGAGAGAACTGCAAAACAATGTGATCCTTTCTGTAATAATGCCAATTTACTTTCTCTCTGTGGATAATACAGCCATTTTCAAGTTATGAAGTGCTAGAGTGACCTGGTTTGGGGCAAATTTGAGAGAGTTAAACCCATAAGACCTGTTGTGGTTTTACAGTTGTCCCAGTTTTGCCTAGTTCATTTCTCAGTTCATGCCACTGGTTCTATTTATCAGTATTTAGTTCTCTTGTCAGATTCATTTATTTGCCTTATTGTATTTACCAGCTCTTTTTTTTTTCTCCTGGTTTTAGTTGCTGAAATGAGTTCTGATTTTCCCTTTTTTGTTTGATCATAAAACTGAATAAGTAAGAATGAGTTATGGAGTGTTGTTGTTCCTATAAATCTATACAACGTTTTTTACTGTATTTGAATTCCTGTCTACATTCCACCTTGAATTATTTTTTTTTGTTTACGTTCACATTCCAAGTACATTTAACTGCTGGATTTAATGAGTAGTTGATTTGTTTCTTGACTGTAGCACAGAAATAGACATTTGTGATTTCCTTTCAACCTCCTTTCTCCATATTTAAGTCTGGATAATTCAGTCACTCATATCCCTAACTGAATTGCAGAGAGGGAACATCAGTCTCCTTTTATCTATAAAGGCTACCAAACAGGCCTGTGTGATCCATAGGGACTGTTCCTGAGAACTTCAGGAAGCATCTACTTGCCTCATACTAGTAATAGTTCATTTCATTAATTAATTTTCTTTAGGTTCCTAGAAGTGTGTCTCACCCCCATGTCCCTCCCTTTGATCTCAAACCACACTGTAATATAATCCTGTGTGATTTTATTTTTAGGAATCCATGGGAAAGAGTTCTGATGGGAAGGCTTATGTCATTACTGGAATGTGGAATCCTAATGCGCCCATGTTTCTAGTACTTAATGAGGAAACTCCAAAAGGTAGTGGAACCTAGTCTGTGTGTTTGTTTTACCCAGCAGGGGTTTGGTGTATGTGCTTTCTCTTGGCAATCATGGTGCATTTCTAAATCCATGAAACATTATGTTCCAAGAGTCCATGGCTAGGAGTTTTTCTGTATAAACATGCCCAACACAGAGTTGTGAATAACTGTTTATAGAACAGTGTGTGGTGCTGATTTGGGGATGTTACATTAGTGTTTGGGGCTGATGTGCCTGTCCCTGCTTATTGGGATTTTGGTTCTAAGCATTTGCAAATTGTACTCAGCAAAGCAGTATGAATAGCGGGCATTGGGATTCTCCTTCTTCTAGTTGTGAGCTGATTACAAATTTCATCCCCTGCATCTTGGGGCAGCTGGCAATGATGCATGCAAGTGCTTGATTATATAGCAGAGTTTCTTATTGCTGGAATTTATATTCTCTGATGGGATGAAAAAACTTGGAATGTAAGTCTGGAATTTGTTTCCTGTCCCGAGGCAGAGCTCAGGTCATTTGCTTAATGCGTACTTAATGCATACTTGCATATCCAAGTACCTACAGCCAGTGTCACTGCTGCTGCTGATGGATTTTCACACCACATTATTTCTAGTAGTGTGTAACAGAACTCCGTACACTTCACAGTGTGACCTTATCCTCTGTACAGTCCTTTTGTTTCATGGGTATTGTGTACTTTAATGGCCTTTTTTTTGCATGATGTCTTGCTCCTGTCTTTAAAACAAGGACATAATATCTTTGTTTTTGAAGTTATCAGATGGTTAATGCACACTTTCATTCTGTGCAACAGGCATGGAGGGTGTAGAACTCAGACAAATAAAACAGGTGCAATAGAATCATTCATGAAAGGATTTTTAATTTGAAACAGGAGTTTAGATTTGAGCTGTGCCTAGTTTTTCTCATGTTTGTGTTTCAGATAAGCGTGTGTTCATGACTGTGGCTGTGGACATGGTTGTCACTGAGGTGGTGGAGCCAGTCAGGTTCCTGCTGGAGACCGTGGTGCGTGTGTACCCTGCCAACGAACGCTTCTGGTACTTCAGCAGGAAAACCTTCACAGAAACTTTCTATATGAAGCTAAAACAGGTAATGCCTTTGGTTTTTTTAATTTAGAGCATTTGTCTCATGTCACTGACATATCTTCTGAAAAATACCTTTGCCAGGGTTTTTCTCCTGAGAAGCTGAGAGGCCTCAGAAACAAAATGTAAACAATAATTATTCCACTGCTGTGGAATGTTGCAGGTGGATCTTTGATTGATCTCGTGTGAATTATTTCTACTTGATGACCAATCAGAGTCCAGCTGTGTCAGACTCTGGTCAGTCACAGATTTTATTATCGTTCTTTTCTAGCCTTCTGATGTCTCCTTTCTCCTTAGTGTAGTTTTAGTATATAATTTTCTTTTAATATAATATATATCATAAAATAATAAATCAGCCTTCTAAAACATGGAGTCAAGATTCTCATCTCTTCCCTCGTCCTGGGGACCCTCAAACCACAATCTCCTATGTCCTAATTTGGCCTCTTTAAAAGCTAGTATGGCACCTGCTCCTTAGCAGCTTGTTTCTTTGAACTGTTTATTTCAGGGATGCTCTAATGCATAAGGATTAAGTAGCATGTGTATGGTTTCAGTGTCATGGTTTAACCCCAACTAGCAAGGCCCACACAACCACTTGCTCACTCCCCCGTAGTGGGATGGAGGAGAGAATCAGCAGAGTAGAAGTGAGAAAACTCGTGGGTTGAGATGGAGACAGTTCAGTAGGGAAAGCAAAAGCCATGTGCTCAAGCAAAGCAAAACAGGGAATTCATTCACCACTTCCCATGGGAAGGCAGGTGCTCAGCCATCCCTTGGGGAAAAGTGTAACATTGGCTTGGGAAGACAGATGCCATCATTCCCAACATCCCCCCTTCTTCCTGCTTACCCTCACTTTACGTGCCAGGCATGATGCCTTATGGTCTGGAGCATCCCTTGGGTCAGTTGGGGTTAGCTGTGCTGGCAGTGTCCCCTCCCAACTTTCTGTGCACCTCAAGCCCTTTTGCTGGTGGAGTGGCCATGACTCTGTGTCAGCAGCTGCTAGGCAGGAGCTGAAACTCCCTTGTGTTATCAGCACCATTTACAGCAGAAGCCCAAAACAGCCACTGTGAAGGAAATAACTAACCCACCACACTTTGTAAACTGAATTGTAATGAGTTGTAAGTCATTGTTTTGTGGGCTTCAACTATTTTGAACCTGCCTATTGAATTGTCTTTAATTCTCTACGATCACTAAAGCAAGTCCACTTGACTGGTAGAACTGGGCAATGGCTCTATAATTGCTCATTGTAAAATCCAAGGGTTGCTGACATTTACAATATGAGGGCAGATGGCTGTAAGAATGTGGCCTATTAAAGACAAAGGTGATGATGCTGAGATGTAAGAGAGTGAGGCTGTTATGATTGTAGCTCAAGTCCCTTCTGGTTTTGGCATTGGCTGAGGTACATACAGGAGTACATCTGCCCATTCACTGTAGAATGAAATGCAGCTGCATCCTCCTGCAGCCACTGCTCACCTGCTTTCTCCACAGACTTATGTCTTGGTATTGGCTCCAAACGTGAAGAGCAGAGGCCAGGTTGCACCACTGTTCCAATGCCCACAGTACATGATCTTTGACTAATGGAACCAAAGAGCAGGGATTTAATTTTACTGAGCCTAATGGGACTGTTTGAGTTGCCATCTTTTTGTGGAGCATAGCAATAGGTCTGAAAAGACCAAGCTGTGTTGATGTTACATGGGAAAATTGCTGCTGTGTTTAACACTTAGGGAGTAAATAAATCTCAAGCAATGTTGTTTCTATATTTCTTCTAGAGATTAGCATAGCAACTTGGAATTTAAGAAAATCTGAGAAAGCTGACTGTTACATGCAAATAAGAATATCTGCCTTTTGACATTAAAGAAAATACATTTATAAGTATGCTGTTCTCAGCTGTGTGATACTTATCTCTTATCAGTTCATCTTGCCTTTTAAATCACTTGCCGCTGTACCATTTTTAATTGGGTAATATGGAAGCTTTCTTTTTCTCGCCCCTTATAATGTGACAAACATACACATTCCTGTCTTCCCTGAAGAAACACATGCATTTCTTCCTGCTGCAAAATTCAGTCTGTTGTGCAGATTTTTGAAAAAGGAATATTTTTAGTCCTAGTGATCCTTCTGCAAGATGAGGTCCTGATTGTGTTTCCCAGGATCTCTTTGGGTGATTTGTATCAAGTGTTTTTTCACCAATTCTCAGTTGTATTGCAGTAACTGCTCCTGCCAACACCTTTGAAAGATCATGTACCTCAGGGCACTGCTACTCCTTGGGAAATAACTCTGCAGATGGCAGTGGGATCAGCCATTTGGGAACTTCTTGGGAAGGCAGTTGAGCATTAAGTAGATTGTAAAAAATTCATAACCCTTCTGAGGAAGGATTCAGGCACATTTAGTAGTCTGAACTGAGATGGGTAAGGTGTGTGCTCAGGTATAAAGAATGCTAAAAGCTGACAGAAATGCAGGTTAATGTGTCATTTAGGATTGTTCTTTCTAGCTGTCTTACTGTTTTCCTCATGCACATTTTCGTTGTTGGAACATGGTCCTTGTAATGGTGAGTTTGTGCCTCAGAGAAAACCAATAGTCAAATTTTTTACATTTTATACAGGTGGATCTTGCAGTTAACAAGAACATGTGCAAGGAGCTGAAGATTTGTGATAATTTTAACATACAGCAAAACCCACAGTATCTCATGCCTTACTCTCTCAAAAATAAAAGCTATAGATACCCATGCTTAATAACATTAGTGCTATCAATACTTGATTGATTTAACCAAGTACTTTGTAATTACTCAATAATGGTGTTATGTGAGAATAAAACAGGCATAACAGCTCTAATGTTACCCTACTTAATTTTTAGAGTTCAGGCTATTTATGCCTACACCCAAAAACTCATTAAGCTGACTTGATGAGAGATTCAGCCAGCAAACTGGCTGATAATTGGAGCCTCTGCTTTAAGGGAAGTGGGTCTCAATTATTAATCTAAAATAAATGAGGAAAGGTTTCTCACTATAAAATAACTTACACTGTGTCAGTAAAACAGTCCCTATTTAAGCTGCTCATTTGCATCATTTCACCAGGTGGTTGAAATTGGAAGTGTTGGTCAGTAGTTTGTGTCTATTTCCTGTGCAGGTATTGTGGAGCCTTTCAACTTTATCATATTTGTTTTCCAACCAAGTTGAGGTTGTACTCTAACTGAAACTGTGTTATTTTTCATGGATAATTCGATGATTTTAGTATGTTCCAATAATTACCTTATTTTAATGGATTAGACAAGATGCACAAAGAAAAAAACGTACAGCATTTTGGGCTGCTTTATTTAATACCATCATTAGTTTACAATTATATACAATTCTCTAAAAATGTAGTCATTACAGCATGTCACTGAAAAATAACTGTGTTCATAACTGTAATTCAAAGGAAAAACATATCTTCTTTTTATTTTAAAACTTGCAACTGCTTAAACTATAGTTAACTGGCTTCTTTTTCATAAGAAAGTCATAGAACTGTGGGATGGTGTAGGTTCACAGGGACCTTCAATATCATCTAGTTCCAGACCCCCTGCCATGGGGCTCCATTACATTTCTCATTGGAAGGAGTGTATTTTAAACTGTATTCTGCTGAAGAAAGATACGTTTTCCTGGGTTTTAGTGAGTAAAGAGGTTAAAACTAAAAAGATATTTTCACAATTTAAGGCTTTTCTGAAGGATGAGGTTTTGTTTTTTCTGCATTCTCTTCTTTACCTACAAAAAAACTTTACTTTTACCTACAAAAAAACATTACTTTCTCCCCCCCTCAGGCATTCAGTTCCTGTTTCACGTACTCCAATGTCTTTCCTCTTTGTTCTCTTCTCTTTTCTTTAGCTGAGATTTCTCTTTGACTTAATCTCATTATGGCTGTTTAAATTGGCAAGTTTTTTTAATCATTGTTCTGAACAATACTGAAAATGGTTGTTAAGAGGCAACTTTGGAAACAGTGCAGTTTTATTTATATTTTCTACCTGTAAAACTGAGAGAAACAGAACTGTCAGATACTGCCATCTATTTTTGCCAAGGCAAGAAATCTGAAGCAGTCCTGACTGAACTATTGTATAGCCTTATTTTTCAACCTAATACATACCCGTATTTTCATTTAGTCTGAAGGAAAAAGCCACACAAGTGCTGGAGATGCAATTTATGAAGTTGTCAGCCTGCAAAGAGAATCTGCCAGAGAGGAAGAATTAGTCACCCCAACAAGTGGAGGAGGGCCTATGTCATCCCAGGAAGATGAGGCAGAAGAAGGTAAGGATAAATGAGCACTTACAGTTTCCATGGATAGTATACTATTATATTTCTGCTGTTAATTTACTCAATTAATTCTTATTACAACTGCTTTGGACAAAAAAATTACCACTTTTTTTTCTATTAGGAGTAATAGTATTTTTACCAAGCCATTGTTTGGATGTCTTCTAATAGCAGCAGCAGATGATGTGTGTCCATCTTTGTGTGCTTCCAAATGCGTTGCTGAGGCACCTGTGCTCTGCCAGCAAGTTAGAAAATGCTTTTCAAAGGTATTTTCTTCTGGTCAGAATGTGCTGTGCTACTGAAGAGGACAGCATGAAATTAGGCTTGAAATGGCAGGTTTTAAATGCCTGTTTTTAAAGAAAAACAAAAAAAATTCCCAGGCTCACATGGGGAATTTCCTCATCCCCTAACTGCTTAACATGTGATTTAGTTTCCCTCTCTTATATCTAGGGTTTATTAAAATATCTCCTGGTTCAGTTGGAGATTGCTGCAGTTCATGGACCCAGTGTATTTGCCTGCCCCTTCCAAAGCTAACATAGCTCAGCGTATTTCCCACTGTTGGAAATTTTGGGGGTTTTTTCCCTCTTGGTGGGTGGAATTTTTTGTTTCGTTGTTTGTTTGATGGCCCTTGGCCTACTGTTGTCTCTTTGTGCTCTGAGGATTAGCCCATAGCATTCAGAATAGGCTTTCCCTGTGCCTTTTTTGATGTGAATGTCTGATCTACCAGGAATTGTGATTCTTTTACCAAGTTATTCTTCAGATCTCTGCCACTCTTCTGTCAGTACTGTAAAAAGTCTCACTCATTACTGTGGAAAAATTCTTCCTTGATTCTTAGTTATTGGTAAGTGTTGGATTTTAGCTTGTGCAATATGAGTCAGAACCCTGGGATTAACAGAGGCTGGAGCAGGCAGGCGTGGTAATTCTCACAAGCTAAACCCTTCTACATATCCCAGGTGACACCAAGCTTGCAAAACCCCCACAGTCAGGTGCTCTTTGATCTGATTCCTGAAAGGGAGGGGGGAATAGGCACAGATCAGCAATGTCAGTCCCCCCTTTGTATCAGGTGCTACTTCTGAATAGTACAAATGCTGTTTTCTCCAAAGGATTTCTTCTGTTTCATTGGTGTTTGGGATTCCTTTGCTGTTCACAGCAAGAATTAGTTCAGATTTGGCTTTTGGAACTTGTGGATCAGTGTAGTGTAATTCAGCTGTTGGTGTTCTTTTCCTTGCTGGATGTGTGAGTTGTAGAGACAAATTGATCTGAGACTTGTTTGATAGGGTAGAGTTTAAATAATTGAATAATTTTTTTTTCAATATGGCTGTTACTGGGAAGGATGCAGCTGTTCCAGAATGTGGTGAATGCAGCACAATTAGCAATAACATTCATACTGTCCTCTTGGTACTATTACAGAGTGTCTTTCTCTTATTACAGAGAACAAGTATTCCACTGGAGTATGAACCTAAGTTAACTTTGGTTTAGTTCTCTAATGCTGGTTTCCATATTTTAAATGTAGATTACTTCCTAAGAGAAGACATTAAAAATATGATGTGCCTCTGTTCTCATGGAAACCACATTTAGAGTTCTGTGCTGAGAAGTTCTTTATCCTGGAGGATATGCAGGTTCAATGAGTCATTTGCAGTTTTTCTAAATAAATCTCTTCATTCTTTTTTTTTTTTTTTTTCTTTTCAGGGTACTAATTATGATGATGGAAAAAAACCCCTTGAGTTTACAATGTCTTGTCTTGGCCTTGGAAGAAGGCTTTTTCTTTTTTAATCTTAAGTGTGATAGCTACCTGGCTATATAGGTTCTTTTTACTTTTCTCCTTTTTAAATTTTTGTTTTTGCTTTTTCCTTATATGCCCACAGAATATTTTTAATTGATTTCAAAAGCACTATACATTGCATTTTTCCTGTATAAGAATGCACTGTTTGATTCCTGTGTACTCTGCATGCACACAGCTCACTGGGATGTCTTGTGCCATGAGAATATGAATAAAGATGGTCATAAAAAAGAAGGCATTTTCCAATATTCTTTTCTTTTTGTTTTAATGAAAGGCCAAACATGGTACCTGCCAATAATGATTTTAAATAATCTCTATACTAAAGTTAGGCCTAATGTCTTTTAACAAGTGCTTGTAGAAAATGAAGCTCATACACACTCTAAATAGCATTCTTAGCTATTGATATTTTTTCTCATTTTAGCTTGATTTTTCATGTGACCAGCTATATAAAAAATTAAGACCTTTGCTAAGATTGTGCAATTGTTACCTAGAGATATTTCAGGTCAACCTCACTTTTGTTTTTTAATTACTAATATTGTAATAGATATTTCTGGCAATCCAGTCACTTATGGTCCCTTGCTTTGGAGGTGATAATTTAAAAAATAATTTTAATAATCTCTTGTCAAAGCCTAAGATGTAAAGCACACTCCTTAATAAGAAGCTTTCTATTAAATTCTAAATGTAATTTTAAAAATATAAAACGGGATAATGAGGACATTCTTACCCTTTCTGTAAAGGTTTCAAATAAAGTGGATTTAAGTATCAACTTTTATTAATATGCAGAAAAGTTCACTGTTAACCTTAAGTAGAACCTTGTAAGCAGGTGCAGAGCACAGTTGGTTGAACTCCTTTTTCTCCTTTCTGGAGAATTAAGGAAGGTGAGAGCATGCCCAGAACTGATGGTGTGGATACTGCACTATTGGAAAAAGCAAAGCCTCAGAAAGCATTTTATTGTAGCATTGTTCTGCAGAGGATGAAGTGGCTGCACTTGTGAGCTTAAGGGTTGGGGGAAATAGCTTTCCAGCAGAAGCATTTAAAGGAAGATGCAGTCCCAGAAATAAATAACAAAGGGAGAAAGGAATTAATAGGTTGGCTGCTTTTAGCAGCAGTGCTTGCTTAGACCGTGTGTGAAAGGATGACCTTCCTTTTGGTCTAATATTTGAATTATTAGATTTTTTTTTTTAATGAAACTTGACATTTCAGGAGAACACTAGATAACTCCATTTGAGTTTCTTCTGGAGTCAGGATGAAGTTGGAAGGTTAAGGATGACTGTAAGAAGGAGAAATTCTGTTCAAAACCAGAAAATACTCTTTAAGCTGATTATTACTGAGTTGAAGCTACTTTTGCTGAAGCTTTCTGTGGTCCCTGGTGTCGGGTTAGGAGCTCTTGTTCTCATCTGTGAGTTGGCTGCAGAGTGAGCACAGAACGTTTAGGAGATATCCTGAAACAGGTAAAAGATGACTTACCTACCAAAAAGCTTCTAAACATGAGCTATGGGGTGCTTCTGGAACACTCTAAAATGACTTCCAGAAACACAGAACTGTTTCCATTTGTGTTTTGTTTGCTGAGGGAAAAAATAAAAAACTGAAGAAAGTAAAACTTTCATCTTCCTATTCCTGTTAGCTGTCTGAACACTAAGAACAAAAAGAGATAGACAATAGAAAAATGAACTTCAGGGGTGTGGAAGTTCAGTGTGGAGATGGTAGGATTTGACATTGAAAATAGACATGAAAGAACAAGGGACCATGAAAGTTTCAGAAAAGCTCTGGGGGTGTTGTGCTGGTCCCTCAAAAAGGTGTCTACAGGAGGGGAGAGGTGGACAATACTGAATGATCAGAAACGATCAGCCAGAGGAAGTCAAAAAGTGTGTCAGGTGTTGTGGGAGGGTGGAGGCTTTTTCAGTACTCAGGAAGGCAAAGGAGTAGAGGAGGTGATGTTTTAGGAGTGAATAGAACTACTGAGTATTTAGTGATAAAATAGGGGTTATGATGTGAACAAATGAGGGTGATTGTGTGAGAAAAATTACATGACTAGTGTTGAAATAGTCAACTCTGCATTTTAATCCAAATTAAAAATAGCTTTGTGTACTTCACAGGAACTGTTTGTTATATTAATCCAATGCAGAGCAAAGTTGGGTCCTAAAGAAGATCAGTTAAATCTGTCTTGGAGTCTTTTTGTCATCTCCATAAAAATGAACTAATATGTCACAAATCCTAAATTCATGAGGCCATTTGGCCAGTAGTTATCTCCCCTTTCTGTAGTTCCACAAGAGTTTTAAAATACAGACACTACTAAGAATAGCATCCAAATGAAAAGAAAGTATTCCTGACAAGCCTGATGTCATTTTATGGACTTTGTCTGTAAAAGAATCCAAAATGGATTATTTTTACACCTTACAAGTTCAAAAATCATAAAATAAATGCACTCAGTTGACTTCTGGAGCTGTTATTGTGCTACTAGGAGGAATGTGATCATGTGATACTTTCCTAAATAAATATAAGAATACTGAGTGTGGAGGATTTATTTTTTATATGGTTGCAGTTGATAGTTACAGTTCTATTTAGATTTGTTCGTGCAAGTATGGCCTTTGTGTTACAAGGTGAGTACTTCAAATGCTTTGAACTTGAAGCACTTCTGTGGGTTGCAGAGGTATTTAATGTATTGGCAAGGTTATCAATTAAAAGGAAAACTGGGGGTTTTTAAGGTTTTTTTTCTGTTCCAGGAAGTGGAATGCACCCAAGGAGTGTGATTTACCCTGAGCTCTTTTATCCCTCTTTTCTTCCCCAGTGTCCACTCAACATCCTGCACAGTGTATGTGGGAACACTGTGGGTAGGGATGTTTTCTTTGATAATATCTGTTCCTCACACTTCCTTTGTGAGGTTCAAGGCAAAACATGATTGCCTAATTCTGGCCTGTGGTTCATGAATGCTCCAGAGAATTCTGGTGATGCCTTTGGTTTTTTTTTTGCAGAATGATAGTAAAGGATATTTTCTAATAAAGGTAGGTTTCAGCTCTGTGGGATCATAGTGAGTTCTGTTTCTTGGATCTCAGGCTTTTTGGTTTTTTATAACTTTCATAAAATCTGTTCAGATTGTGGTACAAAATAGACACAAAATGAGCATAAATTGGTGTTTTCATCTTGTCTGGAAGCAATTGCTGATTATTTTGAATAATTTGGATGCTTTATTTATTAGTGGTTGTCTTTCCTTGTCTGT